TTTTTTAATTCGTGACGTAATTATTATTATTATTACATCAAGTACTCGAATGCTTTACAAAAGAAAAGTATCAGAAGTAATTTGGGGGGCCTTAAAGATTTTTTGATGGTTAAAAAAAAAATATGGCGGGCTGTTGATATAGAATCGAATCAGACAGTGAGAAAAAGAGAGAGAGAGAGAGAGAGAGAGAGAGAGAGAGAGAGAGAGTGAAGCAAGTGAATAAACGATAAACTTTGTCTGCTACCACTTAGATTTAAAAAAAAAAAAGGGTCATTGCCAAAAAAATATTTAATACCGGTTCGAAAGCATCAAAGGAAATCTTATTAAAAAAAAAAAAACTAATAATAATAATGATAATGATAATAATAATAATAATAAAACTGACGAAACGAAAAGCGAAAAATAAAAGCAACTCATCAGAATCAAAATAAAAAAATAAAAAAAAAAAAATTTTTTTGTAAATCTTCCTCTCTGGACCCTCTCACATCAAATCTTTCTCTCTCTCTCTCTCTCTTTCTCTCTCTCCCCAATGGCCGCCTTTTAAGGAATACAAAAAAAAAATTTTTTTTTTCGAATTTTCTAAATTTATCCAACGAATATTTTCTTCTTCTACAGTTTTTTTTTTCGGGGGGAATTTAAATTTATTTAAAAAAATAATAGCAGACGACGCTCGTAATTTTCCAGATTTGGAAATTGAAAAATGCTCTTTTCCGACGACGACGATGATAATAATAATAATATATATTAATATATTTTTTACGCCGTATCGATATCATATTTCGATATTGAGTCATTAAAAAAATAAAAAATAAAAATATTATTATTATTATTACAACTTAAAACAGGAAAAATATCGTCGTCTGATGCTACGAATCAAATTTAAAAAGAACGTGGAAGCAGACAAAAGAAGAAATAAGGTTTTTTAAAAGAAGGCGATGAAAAAACGTTACCGAGAAAGGATTTCGAGGGTCGGTGGATCGAATCCGAATATTCGAGTTAGTTTTTTTTTCTTTATTTTCCTTGACCTTTAAATGGTCATATACGCAAGCACGAGCAAAAAAAAAATTTTTTTTATTTTTAAAAATAAAATTAACGTATATTTCTTTATATGGTACGATCGAATAATAATAATAATATGAAAAAAAAGCCTTAAAGTTGTTATTCTTATTAAACGGAAGCCAAAAAAAAAAAAAGTTGTAAAAGAATGCATTCGTCGAGAGCTTTCTAAAGAGTTAAAATTAGATATTGTAATTCTGTAGGAGAGATATTTTATTTATACACACACACACACACACACATTGGGGATTTCGCCCGTGATTGGCTTACGTTCCGTCTCGAAAATACACACCACCGTCTTTTCCAAAATTGGCAGTTCCGAAAAGTTTTGTGTTACACATTTTACACAAAAAAACAAACAAACACACACACACACATTAGTATACACGTAAATACGCACACGCACGCACATATTATTATTAAAAAAAAAAAAAAATACTCATGTTTAAAATACAACGCGTTTTTTTTTCTAATTTTTTTTTTGTTTCGATTCGGTTGTATTTGTTTTAATTTAATTTAATAAAAGTATATACGTACATGTAATAAGAATAATAATAATAATTATTATTATTATAATTTTCGCGTTTGTCGTAGTTGGAAAAAAAAATTTGTTTTCGTATCGGTGAAAAATCAAAGTTTAAAAAAAAAAAAAAAAAAAAAAAAAACAATTTTGTGATTTTATTTTTTAGGTGATGGATGTGTAATTTTTTACTAAAATGGTGGAATATTTTTTTTTGTAAGTAAAACAAACAAACAAACGAACAAACAAAAAAAATTTTTCTTTTTTTTTTTTTCTACGTTCAAAACAATCGATGGTTTGTAATTTTTTTAATTTTTTTTCTCAATTAAATTATAAATTTAATAAATTAAAATTTAAACAAAACACGTGAGTTTGTACAATTATAACAACATCATCAAACAAACAAACAACCAAACAAACAGAAAAAAATTTAAATCATACCATCCACCCCCCCCCAAAAAAAAAAAATTATTTTGTAATCTCTTTTAACCCCATTTTTTACTCTCATACCCCTTACGCTTATTTTTTCATTCATCTTTTATTATTATTATCATCGTGAAAATTTACAGTTTCCAACCTGTTATCATCATCATTATTTTCATCACTTCCGTTTTGAGTATATGATATTTTACATATATTTTTTTCTCTCCCTTCTTTTCCTTCCTTCTCTTTCGAGAAAACATCCGGTCTTCTTCTACAAAAATATTATCGCCCTAAAAATAAAATAAAAATTTAAGAGTGTGAAATGATAATGATAATGATGATGATGATGATGATGATTTTGTTAAAATTGGATTACGCCCACTTGACGGTGTGAAATGATCATCTATCTTGACAGTCGTGGCACCTGTTCAGATAGAAAATCCACACAAGCCCAACCAACGTCTAAATTAGGAATTGATTTAAATGAAAGCATTTATAACTCGCGCACGCACACACACACACACACGAACACAAAACTATAATTTATAATCTATATGAAAAAAAAAAAAATCATAGAGGAAAATAGTCATAGAGAAAATGTTCAAAACGCGCGCGCGCTCGCTCGATTTCATTCATTCAAAATCAAACTCGAAGAATTTCCAGTTTATAACTCGAGGAAGATTTTACCATTGTTTTTAATACTGATAACAGATTCATTGATAAAAAAGTAAAAGGTCAAATCGGTGACCCCAAAAATTTCATCAGGATAAAAAAAAAGAAAAAAATTCTGCAACGTCAGGTTGCGTGGGTAGAATTGTGTGCGTGTGCGCGTGTGTCGACCTCTCGGTGAGGATTCTATAACTGGTTCAGGTTTTTTAAAAAAATTTTTTTATATAATAAAATCATTATTATTATTATTATTGAAGGTGTGTGAGTGCGAATATTATTATTATTATTATTATTATTATTATTATTAATCTCATTTATTTTGTTTACGACGTTGTTAATTTTATTTTTCGTTTCCAATTAACGTAGAAAATTAATTTTTTTAAATTAAAAAAAAAGAACGTAAGGTTATTATTATTATTATTATTATTTTCAGGTTCAAAGTTCAAGAGAAATTCATCGGGGTCATGAATGATTGATAAAAATAAATACCCGGGCGGTTATCAAATTAAATCTCATCCAATGAAAGGAAAAAAATTTTTTACGTCATGACTGTCATCTTAGACGCGATCCTAGACAGGGCTAGGGTGGTCCCGAAAGAAAAAAAATTACTTAACAGGAAACGGAAATACTCGATATCACTCGACGAAGATAAACGGAAATGTACAAAAATTGATGATAATAATATTATTTACACGGGAAAACGTATTAAATTTTTATCATCAATGGATGGAAACGATCATTTTTTTAATAATAATATTAATGATGATGATGATGATAATGATAACGATGATGATGATGATGAAATCAATAATCGATTGATGATACAGTGAGTAGAGGTTAAAATTATAACCGGAAATGATGTCATTTATAATTATTATTAATTAATTTTTTCAATTTTTGAAATTTAGGGAAAGAAAAGTTGGTACTTCATCTAGTCTAACGAATAAAAAACAAAAAATTTTATTAAAATCCAATAGAACACCGATAAGGTAATTAATTATTATTATTATTATACTTACGTTTTATACCCTCGAATAATAATAATAATAATAAACTTTATAATTTATTAGAAATAGGAGAAAATCAAGGTGGAAGCTTAAATTTCATCATCAGGCGTTACCTCCGGAATATCTCAGACACTACAAACAACAAGAAAGAAAAAGAATAATAAAACAAACGGAAACAAATAAAAACAATAATAATAATAATAAAATTAATAAAAGTGAAAATAAAAAAACAAGAAAAGAGTGTAATAAAAATAATAATAATAATAATGATACGGTGAAATATCGGGAAGTGACGGCCGTTTTAAATATGGATAATGTTATCAAGAGAGAAGAAGAAGAAGGAAAAGAAAAAGAAAAAGAAGAAAAAGACGTGGAAAGACTGAAAAAATCAACAACAATCACGTCCGTCGTTAATTGTTTTAATGATAATAATAATAAGAAATCACCATCACCGGAAGTGTTGATACAATCTCGCGTGTCACCGGAAACGATATTTCGAACAACTTTATCCGGTATACCGAATTTAAACGTGGACGTGTCACAGAATAAAGTTTTCTTGGAAAATTTACTAACGAATCAAATCGAAATAAATAGAGTGGATGAAAAAGAGAAAAAATATACGACCGTTAAAAATTCTCTAACGCAATTTAACAAATTGAAAAGTGTTAAAACGGAAGAAAGGCAAAAATCATATTCAATACCATCTAGCGGTAAAATAATGAATTATTCGGATTTACCCTATATGGGTGAAATCACCCTGGATGGTATTAAACCGAGAAGGGGTAGAAAACCTAAAAAAGCGGATATATGTCATTTGATATATAAAAATTACGGTCAAGTTTTTCCGGGTGCACCGGAAAAACAAAACGTTACGGAAATGGTTGACGAAACGTTGTTGAAAAAAGAAATAAAATGGCGACCGGATATAAATAAATGTCATTTAACTTCTAGTCATAATAAAACCAAAGGATCTTTTGATAACGGAGTAGGAGCGAGTTCCGAAAATGTTTTGCCAACCGTATCCGGTTTAATTAATCACGCGGAAGTTCAAAATCGTATAATTAATTCTTTGTTAGAAAAGAGACTGACTCAGGGGTTAAAAATAAAAAAAAATTATCTTGCCAAAGAAGATGGAGGAGATGGTGGAGAAGGAGGGATTGATAAAGATGATAAAATAAATTTGGAAAATGAAGAACCGTTAAATTTATGCATAAGAGATTTGGAATCGTTGAAAATTAAATTGTCGAGAAAACATGGCAACATTTACGAAACGAAACATCAAAAAGAAACGGAAACGAGATTTATTATAAAAACGGAAATTGATGATGATCCTAATCCGGATGTTATAATACAAACAACAACGGATAAAAGCGATTCGGATATAGAAACGACGGATGAAAACGAAGAAGAAGAAGAAGGAGATGATGATGGCGATGGCGATGGTGATGGTGAAGATGATGAAGAAGAAGATGATTTGGCACCGTTTAATTTGGTCACGACAGAATTAAGAGAGTCATCAGATGACGACACATTTTTAAGTCTGGATGATCAAATGAGTCTAACGAAAAAATCAGAAATGAAAACAAAATTTGAAAAACAAAATTCGACTGAGGATTCTAGTCCGATTTTATTATGGCCGGGTAGTAATTTTTTCCTTCCTAACGTGTCGCCATCTTTATTGTGTAATAGAAAAATTGATGACGTTGCATCATCATCGAATTCCATTAAAATCGATACGTGTTCGTCGTCGTCGTCATCTTTGAATCGGGAACAAAATCGTAAAAATTCTAAAAGTAAAGTTGAAGGACACAGAACTCAATTAAAAAGAATGTCATCGACGAGTAATGGTGGTAATGGTGGCAGTGGTGGTGGTGGTGCCGGTGGTGGTAACGGTTCAAAATCATCAAACGTTTTAACAAAAAGAAAACGTTCGGCAATATTCATTCCACCAGTACCTTCGGAAAGTACGACTAATCCCACGACGGAAGTTAGCATATGCAAATTTAAATTTACCGGTGGTGCGAAACCTTCTTTGCAAGAAAAAAAAATGTTGAGCGTTGATTCCGGTGGTAATTTCCGGTATTATTCAGGTACGGGAGATAAATCAATGAGAGGCTACGAATATTTTCCCAGGGAAAGTTTACAACAGTGTCAGGAAAATACAGGATGTTCACCATCGGGAGTTTTTTTAACGGCATCAGCATTGGGAAGCGGTGAAAAAATCCCGGAAGAAATCGGTCATTCGGGATTTTTCGATCCCGATTTTCCGATACAGGTATCAATACCTAAACAATCATCGGAACAAAAAACAAAATTAAAAATAAAATCTAAAAAATACGGATTGGAAAGGAGGGGATCGGATGTGACGACGACGACGACGACGACGGCAACGACGCCGCCTTATCGAACTTTAAGAGAGCATTTATTGGCGCCAAAATGCGAATCAGCGGAAGTGACCATGTTTCCGGAAGACATAACCAGAGATGATGGTAATTCATCGGATCAATCCGGCGGTGAAGGTTTCGATTTTAGAAATTTACCACAAAGTTATTTTGATAATTTTAAAATTCACGATGATACAACCGGAAGTATGACGTCAAAAATTGACGAAAATTTAAATAGAAATAAAAAATTTCGTAAAACGAGAAAATCGTTGGCGAGAGAAAAACTCGAACAAACTTTTAAAGAAAAAGGTTTTCTCATACAAACGCAACAACTTGAATCCGCCGAGGGTGCAACTTATTGTAAGTTCAGACAATTGAGAAAATTCACGAGGTACCTGTTCAGAAGTTGGAAAGATTATTTACCCGGAAATGTAAGAAATCTTAGCGTCGATGCCGGAGTCGATAATAGAGACATGATACTCGATATACCGGAAACGAGTGTTAGAATCGATTCGACGGATCCGGAAACGGATGATAAATTAAAATAAAAAAAATTTTTTTTTTTTAACTTTGTTATTGTTTTCCTCCCCTCCCCCTTCCCCCCTTTTTCTTTCCTTTGAATTTTTTTTTCTTCTGCTTTTTATTTTTCTTTTGTATTATTTAATAAAATCTTATATATTTTAAATAAAAACGAAAAAAAATAAAATTTTCTTTTTTAACGTTTTTTACTATCCTCATACACTCTTTTTTTTAAGAATTCTGATGACACGATTTTCGTTTCTGCTTCCACTTTTTTTTTTTTTTAAACCTGCAATCAAAAAACAAAACAAAACAAATTAAATTAATTATTATTAATTATTTATTTTTTTTGTTAAATAAAAATCAAACAGAAATTTTTTATATTTTTTCGTTCGAATTAATAAGTAACGTTGATGATAATAATAATAATTAATAATAATAATGATATTTACTATAGAAAAAAGAAAGAAAAAAATAAAACAGAAGAAACGAGAAGATGTATATATATATTTACAAAATATTTATTTATTTATATGCCTGAATTTTTTTTTTTATTAAAATTTTATTTATACATAATAATAACAATAATTTATTATTAATCAGGCACTAAAATCAAATAAAATTATTATTAATAGTTTTTTTTTTTAAATAAATAAATAAAGAAAAATAGAAAGAAAAAAAAATATTCTTTTTATTGTGCTTAAAATTTAAATGTTATTTTAACGCATTATTATTATTATTATCATCATCATCATTTTAATATATATATTTTTATAATATATTTAGAAATTTTTAATAATAATATTTACATTAAATTTTATTAAATACAAATTTATTTATATTACAAAAAAATTTTTAAATAAATAAAAATTAAAAATTCGTTTTTAATAAAAAATAAATTTAAAAAATAATTAGTATTAATTAATAGTAGTAATAATTTTTTTTGTTTATTTATTTATTTATTTATTAGTTTAGAGTAAATAGTAGTTGTTATGATAATAATGATAATCACAGAAGAAAGAAGGCAGGTGATATTTTACAAAAAATAAATAAACGAATAAATAAATAAATTTTTATGTGTAACTCGAATGAGGAGCAAAAAGATTTTAATTTAAATATTAATTCCAATCGAATGATTAATAAGTAAATAAATAAATAAATAAACATACATAATAATAACATATTATTAATTAATAATTATCATCATCGAGTTATGAAAACGATAGAATTTTAAACAAATAAAATTTTTTTAATTATAAGCTCCTGAAAAAATTTATATATGCTTTTCATTCAAGTATTGCGAAAAATGTTAAAATTTTTTTTTTTTTTAAACAACCGATTCATCGGCGATTCTTTATTTATTTATTATTATTATTATTAATAAAAAAACAAAAAAAAAATACACAATGTTATTGATGATATACAAGTTTAATAAATAAATAAATAATCCTTCTAATTTATTAATCATCTATGTAATTAATTAATAAGGATCTACTACTTAAAGCTAAGAGATAGGCACAAGAGTTACAGGCAATAAATAAAGCGATTTATTATTAACTTTTTTTTGTTTTCCTTTTAAAAATTATTATTGTTATTATTATTATTATTATTACTTATTTATATATATATATTTATAGATTTATTTAAAATATTAATTATTATTATTATTAAATCGTTTCGTTTCAAGAGATTTTCCCTCTTTTTTTTTTCGTTAAAAACATTTATCATCTCTCTTTATTTCTCTCTCTCTCTCTCTGTCTCTCTCTTTCTAACCATCTCTCGTTTTATTCCCCTCTCCCTCTCTTTGTCTCTCTCTTTTATTTATCTATCGAAATAGATAAAAGAAAAAAAAAATTTTCCGGACATTTAACAACAAACTTAAACGAGCTCTCTACAAAATTTATTATTTATTATCATTATTAATTTTTCTTTATATAATTAATCGAAAAACAAGAATTTTTTTACAAAAAAATATATTTATTTTATTTATTTATTTATTTATTAATTATTTGTGATATTTAATAAAAGGCAAATAGATAAAAAAATTATTATTATTATTATTAATTATTAATAATTTTTTAAATGAAATTAATTATTTATTAAGAGAAAAAAAAGTTTACGTCGAAGGCATTATTATTATTATTATTATTATTATTATTATTATTCATAATGATTAATAAGTTTTATTTATTTATTTATTTAAACGTGAAATTCTTATTAAAATTATTAAAATAAAATTTCATGTAATAATAAAAATAAAAATATAGAAAAAAACAGAAAAAAAGAAAAAAAATTTTTGGTCGAAACGAAGAAATTCCTGATAACGATTTTGGACCCAAAATATCTTTCTTTGATATCACATGAGGATTCGTGAGTGGACGGGTGAGGGGGAGGTGGAAGGGGAGAGGAAATGAGAGGGAAAGGGGGGGGGAGAAACAGAAAAAGACGAAATTTTTTTTTTTATTAAGAGCACTTTCTTTTTTTTTTTTTTTCGTTTGATTTTTAAACCGAAACATTTGTTAGAAAATATTTTTTGTTTAGTGTTTCATATGGTCCCGGACCAGCTCGAACGATTACGATGATAACGATAACAAATCACCGACGAGAGAGAGAGAGAGAGATGATATGAGAAAAGCGAGAAAGAGAGAGAGAGAGAGAGAGATGAAAATAATAGTAAGGAAAAAATTTTCAATTTACAAACAAACAAACAAGAGGAGGGAAGAAATCGAGGCATATTTTTAATTATTGCTTAAGAGTACAAATCTAATAAAATAATAACGAGGAAGGGGAAAGGAGGGGAGAAGAGAGGAGGGTAGAAAGGGAGAAGGGTGTAGGAAGGAGGGGAGAAAAGGAGGGTGGTGGGCAAACAAACAAATTGGCACTAATTTTTTTTTTTTTTCGTTTTTCTCATAACCTCAAAACCACGTTGTCATTTATAACTTTTTCGAATAATAAAATTTTTAAATTGACCTCAAACAAACAACAAAACAAACAAACAAACAAAACAAACAATTTAAAATTACGAAAAAAAAAAGAAAAATTTCAAAGATTAAAAATATTAAAATTATTTACAACGATTAAATTTTTTTTTTTGACTACTCCTAACTACAAAAAAAAATATTTTTACAATTTTTTTTTTCTTCATTTATTATTATTATTATTCGTTGATTAATAATGTTTTATTATTATTATTTAAAAAGCGTGTCAATAGAATGCGTTTGTGACACGAAACGAAAACAAAAACCCCTCGCAAATATTAATAATAACGGAAAAAAAACTAAAAAAAAAAACAAAAATAAACAAACAAAAACTTTTTTTTTTTTTATTTCGACAAACAAAAATTTCTTTTATTAAACAAATAATAAAAAATAAAACGATAATAATAATAATTAAAATTATAAACAAAAAAAAAATAAAAGAAAACTTAAAATTAATGGAAAAACAAAAAAATTGTAAAAAAACTTAAAAAATACGCACCGTAAAAAAAACTTAAAAAAACGAATAAAAAAAAATGAAAAAAAAAGCTTCTGCTATCATAACGTTAAAATCGTAAAAAATAAAATTTATTATTATTATTATTACTTAACACTCTATAGTATTATTATTATTAATTAAAAACGAATTTAAAAAAAAAATTAAAATAATGTACATAAAAGTAAGAAAGAGTTTTTTTTTTTTTTTATTAGAAAACGAATCGACGCAATCAAACGCATTCTTTTCATTATCATCATTATCAAAACGTTGTACACAGTCACGTGATGATGACAAAACAAAAACAAAACAAAAAACGTTAAAAAATAAACAAACAAACGAACGATACACGCCAGGTTCCAGACGGTGTTTTTGGTGTTTGTTTGGGGAATCGACAAGTTTTTTTATCCGTCATAAGCTAAACATCATCTTCTAATGATTTAACCATTGGAATTTTTTGCTTTTGTGCAAACGCGTTCAACACGTAGCAAAGTTGATCCATTTTTTTGTCCAGGAGGAAAAGCTGAAAAAGACAAAGAAAAAAAAAATTCGATTAAAGGTATCAATCTATCACGTATCCAAACTACCCGATCTCATACCTGTTGTTCGACCCGGTACAATCTGGCACCGATCGTCATGGGTTTAACATTTCCAGATCTGTCGATGCCTGCCAGGTAACTTCCAGGTTTTCCAAGAGTTTGATCCAGCCTACGTTGAAGTTCCTAAAAAAGGTAAAATAATGATTCATTCATTCGTTTGCAGAAAAGAAACCCCCCCGGATATTGCAACGTACCTTTATTCGCACCATCATGTTTAAATGTCCCTGACTGTATTGTTCTATGACGTCACGAACGTCGTAAGGTTTTCGTGCCTGTTGAAATTTTCTTCTCGCGACAAAATATTTTATTTTTCTAATGGCACGTATCGCGTTTCTATGAGCTTCTGTCAACCTGCGACCATCCCCCCGAGAAAAAAAAAAAAAAACCATGAAAAATCATCATCATCATTATCATTACTCTCTTTCTTTTTTCACCCTTTGGTAAAAACATTAAAAATTATTATTATTATTATTATTATTTTCTCACTGTGTCACTCTTTGTGGTTCCTCTTGATAATCTATGTCCATATCGTCACTCGGTGCTTCCGTCACGCTACTCGCTTGACTAGTAAAAAGGCTTCCTCTACCACCTTCTCTTCTCACTCTGAATACAAAAATCAAGAAAAAAAGCATAAAAATCACTTGATCGCCGTGCGAACGAAAAGAAAAACAGAAAAAAAAACAAAAAAAAAAAAAGGAAAAACATTTTCATTTGTGTTATTGTTTGTTTGTTTGTTTGTTTGTCCGGTTGTTTTCTACCTGTTGGGTGTTCCCGCTTTGGGTTCTTCCATGTAGAAAACGACATCTCCTTCCGTTTCGACTCTTTCCGCGTTACTACCGTTTGTGCTTTGATTTTGAATTGAACTCGGCGCTTCCATTCGATTCTTTGATTTTCTTCTTTTTAGTACGGATGCTTTTTTTGCGACCTGCATGATCAAGGACTGAGATACCATACAAAATTAACCGTTAAGCACACTGAACACCAAACAATCTTTTTTATTATCGAGCAAAAAAAAAAAAACAATAAAAAAAAAACTGATGCCTTTCCGATAAAATACTTTTTCTTTTCCTTTCAATATTTTTTTTTTTTTTACTCTTACCGCGCGCGCCAAAAAATTATTTTCGAAAAAAAGAAGGCGGTGGAAAAATGGAGAAAAAAATTCAAAAAAATAAAAAAATAACGAAAAACTCGTTAAATGATTTGCCATCGTGATCTTTTTTTTACATGCTTATCCGTTTACTTACGGTTTTCTTTTATTTTATCTCAATCTAAGAAGATTTACTGTTTAATTTATTTTTTTACCCACGAATAGTTTTTCTTACGTTAATATTAAATTTATTTCGTTCCGGAAAGAAAATTTTTTATAAAAACGACTTTTCGTCATAAAAACCGTTAACAATTAAACACGATCGTTAATAAATAATTAACTAATTCCACGACTGTTTTTTTTTTTTTTTTTGCTTTTTTGGAGGGAAATTTAAAATCGAAAAGACCGAAAATATTAAAAAAAAAAATGTGTTAGTAATTCGTACGAGAGAATTAGTCAGTCAGTCAGTCAGTTGTAGGTTTAAACGATAATTTGACGTGACGTGACATTTTTTTTTGAATAATTAAATTAATGGCGTGACCGTCCCTCGTGTTTTTTTTTCTCTTTTTATTTTCCCATCGGGTATGTTTTATACAATTTTTTTTTGCTACGGTTGAGATTTTAACAAAAGGATAATTCCGACAAAAAAAAGGATTACGCGGAATTTTGTTAAGCCTTTTTTTTTTTTGCTAAAGCACACGAAATAAAATAAATCATTCAGTATTAATCGTCGTCACGAGAATCGATTTCCTGTTAAAATAAAAAAACCTAAAAACTTACGAAGATTTCATACGCACGCACACACACACACCATGGCAAGAATATCGATCACGTTTAAAGTTTCTTTCTAGTTCCACGATAAAATACAAAAAAAAAAATATATGGAAAAATGAATGAATTACTAAAATTTTTTTTTTAAAACTATTTTTCCATTCGAATTAAATCACGTGGTGTATTTAAAAAAATGAACGATGATAATGATGACGTTTAAAGTTTCTTTCTAGTTCCACGACAAAATACAAAAAAAAAAAATATATATGAAAAAATGAATAAATCACGAAAAGTTTTTTAAACTATTTTTCCAGTCGAATTAAATCACGTGGTATTTAAAAAAATGAACGATGATAATAATGGTAATAATGATGATGATTATGATGATGATGATAATAATAATAATTTTTTTTTTGTGTGATTTAATGAGCGGAAGTTTGATTATCTCGTCAGAGAGTTTTTAATTCTCGAATTTTTTTTAATTTTTTTTTTTTCACTTTTAATTAAAATGAATTTTTCATTTTTCAGTTTTTTATTTTCTGGAAACTTCTACGGAAAAATATCAGTTAAAAAAAAAACGACGACGACGACGACAACGGCGATGATAATAATAATCAAGTACGTAAAAAAAAAAAAAATACGAAAAAACAAACGAACGGGCGAATGTTTAAAAAGAAAAAGTATTTATACATATCGGATCATTTTGAATGATTGAATGAATGAATAATAATAATAATTTTGCTCGTGTGTGATACGTTATTAACAATCAAACATTAATGTTAATAAATAAAAAAAAAAAATTTATAATTCCGTTAATTTTCAACGAAACGTGTAAAATCGATAAATATATGAAATATTCATGCGAGCAAACAACAAACAACAAGGCAATCATCGAATGTGCGTATATGTATATGTATATACACACTAGAATGTATAAAAAAAAAAAAAGGAAAAAAAGGAAAAACTTACTTTGCTCAAAGGAGTATTTGGATTGTTTGTGTGCGAATTGACATCTTTGACGTATATGTGCCACGTTGCGTGACTATTAAAACCTTTATCGGCTGCATAACATCTCCATAAACATTGTATCAACATGGCCGCCGCGGGTATTTGCCTTCATTAAAGAAAAAAACAAACAATTTAATTTCTTTTTTCCCTTTTTGTCTGCCCTCCCCCTTTGTTCATTATATTACCTGTTGAAATGTTTTTGCCTTTGTTTTTGTTGGACTTTTAATGCGAATCCCGAGCCTAAAATACCAGCGGGTAGTGCGAAAAATGAAATTGCAAAAACGCTAAAACAAGATGCGACGATTTTACCCATCCATGTTTGAGGTACTGCATCACCGTAACCTATCGTCGTCACTGTTATCTGAAATGTGTGATAAGAAAAATTCGAAGGATGAACAAAAAAAAAAAACGGAAAAGGCAGTAAACCCTAGCAAAAACGATTTCCCTGGCAACTATAAAAAAAAAACCGGGAAGAACCGGAGTGAGGGAGGGGAAGGGAGTGAGAGAGAGGGGAAAGCAAAAGGGAAATATCGGATAACCGGAAAAGCCGGATGTGAAATAAAAAAAACCTTTTTTTAAAAGCGTTTTAAAATATTAACAAAAAAAATGGAAGAACAAATGAAAAAAAAAAACGACGAAGAAGTCAATTGGGAAAATAAAAAAATACATACGGGGAGGAGGAGGAGGGAAATGACAAAAGTGGCAAAAGAAATAATCTTCGTACTTAAAAATGAGGGGAAAGGGGGAGGAAGAAAAAAAAAATTGACTCACCACACCCCACCAAAGTGCATCGGCATAACTTTCAAAATCGGTTCTTCCGTTTTCACCTTTCGCATCTTTTTCCGCCAAATAAACAAAATAACTGCTGAATATCAAACCGAGAAAACCTATGTATAAAGTCGTTATCAATTCCTGTGATAAGAAAAAAAAATTAATTGTTTCTAATTCCACGATCGAAAGGAAAAAAAAAAAAATTTTTTTTATCACGTACCTGTCGATGAATGAAAACGACGCTTCCCAAAAGTCTCCATGTTCCACCCTGACGATCCACGTGTAACATTCGAAGTATTTGTAAAAATCTTATGCCACGTATTGCGGATGTTGCAAATACTTGACCGTTTGAACTGCATAATACGACGATTGATGCCACGACGACGATCAAATCTGAAAAAATGACGCATCATTATTTTATTTTATTTTAAAATCGCAATTATAATTTTTTTTTCCAGCGCTGGAAAAATCCCGATCTGGAAAATTAAAACCGGAAGTAAAAAACGTTTTAAAAAAAACAAAAAACCCTTTGTGTCGACTAATTCGATTATTATTATTACACAAAAGAAATATTAAAAAAAAATTTAATCAATCAAAAAAAAATTTTTTTTTTTTTAATTAAATTTTTGGCGGAAAAATTTAAAAATAAAAAATAAAAATTGTTTTTTAAAAGTGAAAAAAAAAAAAAACAAAAATATCAATTTACAAACGTTTTCATTTTTTGTTGTTGTTGTTGTTGTATGTTTGTTTCCATTGAGTTGTAAAAACATGGAAAATTAAAAATGACATAATAATAATAATAATAATAATAATAATAATAATAATAATCTATTGTGACAAAAAAAATATAAAATTTCAAAAAAAAGAAAAAAAATGAAAACGTATAAAAGCATTTCGGATGAGGATTGATTACAAAACAACAACAACAAACATGGAAAAAATTTTTGTTTTTTTTTTTTATTTCATTTTATAAATAAATTAATTGTTTAAAAATTTTTTTTACCGCGACAAACGGTTTGAAACAAACAAAAAAAAGAGATTAACCGTTTTTTTTAAAGTGCGTTCAGAAACGTATTTATCTAATGACACGTTCGAGATGTTTTGAATGTAAAAAAAATTTTACGAAATCCTAACGTTTTAACATGTTTTCGTTTTTGGTTTTTTCTTTTTTTTTAAACAAACGAAAATAAAAAAGAATTTTCTCAAAGGTTCGGTGGTTTGTTTGTTGTTGTTGTTATTTTGTCGTAAACAAAAAAAAGGCTGAAATTTTTTTTTTGTTTTTTTTTTGGAATTAACTCGGATGCAAAGTTTTTTTTTCGAGAGGAAAAATATAATTTTTTTTAAACAATTTTTTTGCAATCCCGTGAAAAAATTTTTTGTTCACGATCGATTGTGTTGCTTTCTTTTTTAATCTTTTTTTATAGAAAAAGAGAGAAAGAGAGAGGGAAAAGAAAGAACAAAAGAAGGGAAAAAGAGAGAGAGAAAGAGACACACACACAGAGGGAGAGAGAAACTGTATGAAAAGAAGAGAAAAGAAAAAAGAAAGGACAAAAGAAGGGGACACGGACAGATCTCTCTCTGAGAGAGAGAGAGAAAGAAAGGAAACAGAACAAAAAAAAAGGAGAGAAGAAGAAGAGAAATAATAAAAAAAGAAGAAAGAAAAGTGAAGAGTAAAAACAAAATAAGAAGAAAAAGAGAGAGAGAGAGTAAAAAAGAATGAAAAAGACCAAAAGAAAAAAGGCAAAGAAATGAAAAATATCAAAAGAAGAAGAGAGAGGAAAAGAAAGAGAGATAGAACAAAAGAAGGGGAAGAGACACACACTGAGAGGGAGAGAAAGACTAAGAGAAGAAAAGAGAACGAGAGACAATGAGAAAAGAAATAACAAAAGAAGGGGACAGAGAGAGAGAGAGAAAGATTTTTTGTCTTCTGCTTAAATTCACGTACCTATAATACAAATGGGTTTTCTAATAAATCGAAGTCGTCCAACGCATCCCATATACTTTGACCGACAACCAGCCGACCATAATCTTATAGCATATTCGACTCCAAAAAAAACAACCAAACAAATTTCCTAAAAAAAAATAATTTATTTCATCAAATTATCATTATTATTATTATTATTTTTCAACACAGTAAGCCTATTAATAATAATAATAACTCACCATCCAAAATAATGTTTCGTTAGCAAAATCTTGATATCCGTCGATTGTTGAAAGGACGCTAAATATTAAACAAATTAAAACAACCATGAATCTGGAACATGAAAAAAAAACGAAAAAAAAATGATAATAATAATAATAATAATAATAAAATGATTTTTTTTTGTCGTTGTTGTTTGTTTGTTTTCGGGGTAACAAACAACGTAAAAAAAAGCACGAGGACAGTTGTTTCCGCCATATTCAGTTTCGATTCACATCCGATCCGATTAAAAAAAAAAAAATTGGATTCTGATTTCATACAGTCATTTAAAGGTTTTTGATTTATGCTTTCGATCAAGTTTCCGGTTATTCTGACCTCAAGCTTCCGGTTCAAAAAAAAAAAACACGATAATATAATGATAATAATTTTTTTTTTTTTTTTATTGAAATTCACACACAAAAAATTTTTTTTTCTTTTTTTCAAATGTTAAAATCTATATTAAAAAATAAAAATAAACGATTTATTACGTCATTTCCGGTCAACAAAAAAAACGGAAAAACAAAACCGTTTCCGTTACAGAAAAAAAAGAAAAAAATTTTCCCCTTTTTATTACTCACACACAATGACCTCATCTTTAAATAATAATAATATTAATTTGGAATTTTATTTATTATTCTGGAATAAATTCTGGAATGAAAATTTAAGGAAAATTAATGACGTCATTCACTTAAACACTATTATTAATGTCCAAACACGTGTTTGATGAAGAATAAAACCTGGAGAACAAAAAAAAAGTCACGAAAGGTTTTTTTAAATTATATATATATAAAATCAGGTGTGAGAAAGAAAGAGAAAGATAGAGAGAAAGATATAGTGGAGTTTTATTATTTTCCTTTTACTTTTTCTCTTTTTTTCTTTCTTTTCCACTTTTCCAGAACGTAAAAAAAAAAAAGGAAAAAAGGAAACAAATTCTAATCGTATCTTTTCTCCTATGGGACGAAATAACAAGTGAAGTAAATATTTCAAAATTTAATTTAAAAACCGAAAATTCCAGATATAAAAAATTGTGACAGAAGAAATAAAAATCTCTCATCCTCTCTCTCTCTTACTTTTACCTGTTGTCCTGTTCTTCTCCCCTTTCCCTCCTTCCTTTCCTTCTTTTCCCCCCCGGATTCATTTTTCCAGAAAAAAAAAAAGAAAAAAATTTGTTATCGTTGTCGTTCATCAGTCGATTAAATCGATTTTTTTTTTTTTTTTTTTTTTTTTTTGAAGTTAATAAGAAATTAATAATGAAACGGTCGTGGTTTTAGAAAATAATAATAATAATAATAATAATAATTGTTCATTTTCCGTGCGATCGCGTTACCTTTTTTTTTATGAACGGTAAAAAAAAAAAAATGTCGTTTCAACTTTTTTACTTTTTTCATTATTATCATCATTTTTGATTCTTTTTCATTTTAATTTGTTTCAAAATTATTATTAATATAAAAAAACAAAAGAAATAATAATAATAATAATAATAATAATAATAATAAATAAATAAATAATGGAGAAATGAAAAAAGAAAAAATTTAATTACAAACAAACAAACATTATTTTTTCCCTAGAATTTTCTCTCGCACGAAATCATCTGTCATTATGATTTTTATGTTAAATTTAATTTTTTTTATTTCCTGTCGTGATGATAATAATGATAATGATAATAATAATAATAATAATAATAATAATAATAATAATAATAATAATAATAATAAAAAGGTAACAACGACAACGACAACAACAAAGTTTTTTTACGAGTTTAATTATGTATATATATTTTTTTAAAATAATTTTTTATGTCAGGGACGTAACCAGACGTTTTTTTAAAAAATATATAAATTTAAAAATGGATTAAAATTATTAAATTTTATGCAAAGGGAGGGAGGAGGAGGAGGAGTGGAAAAAAGAGGAAAAAGTGGAAAGGGGAGTAATGAAAAAAAAAAAATTATTTTTATTTATATTCTTCTTCTTCTTCTTCTGAGGATTTATGATAAAGAAAAGAAAAGAAAAAAAGTAGAAATGATTGATGCATTGATATATATTAAAAAGGAGAGAGAGAGAGAGAGGGAAAGTAGGGGGGATGAAGAAGGAAAAGCGATAGAGAGAGAGAGAGATACACAGAGAGAGAGAAAAGACAGATAAGTGAATTGGAAAGGGAATATAACGTATGTGTCGGAGGAATGCAAAGAGTGAAATATACCGAAAGCAGAAGACGAAAAAAAAAAAAAAGAAAAATGGAGAAACCTAAACGAAAAAAAAAAAAAGAAAACTGTTGGATTTAATAAAATTTAATGTCTTGGAACCGACAGCGAACGCAAAAAAAAAAAAAAATTAAAACTTGTCAGAAATTTTTCTTTTTTTTTTTTTAAAAAGTGTTCGTTACAACGCACACGCACACCCACACTCACACGCGCACAGATTTTCCAGATGGATTTTTTTTTTCCAGTTTAAAAACAATAAATAATTGCTTAAAGAAAAAAAAAAACTTTAAAATGGTGGCAGCAATTTAAACTTTCTAATCCATCATTATCCGATGACTTAAAAAAAAACCAACAACAACCAACACATAAAATCCGTAAAACAAACAGAAACGTAAAACCCTTATAAATATTATTATTATTATTATTATTATAAACGTAGAATTTGATAACGCTCCGATTTTGACACCCTCGTTAAATCAAATCTTTTAAAATATTTTCATTCTCGGTAAAAAAGAAAAACAAAAAATTTTTTAATAACGACAACAAACGACAACAGCAACAGCAAAAATTATTTTTGTTAACAACCTAAAACAAACAAACAAACAAGCAAAAACTTCATTAACGAATAAAAACCGCACAGAAAAAAAAAGAAGGAATTATCCGCGTAAATTTATCTCAAAAATTTATTTTATTATCGCGATCAACATCATCATTATTATTACTTCCTTTCATAACCGGAAATGAAATAAAAGTTTCAAAACTTTTTTTCCTTTTTTTCCTTTTGTAAATCAAAACGTTTAAAATATCAATTACGTTTAAAATGTTGTTAAAATGCGTGCATATCATTTGCGCACTTTTTAAAAAAAAAAAAAAACGATAAAATAATTATTGTGACGTAAAAATCGATAACGATTCCTTCCCGCTCCTCACCCTCCCTCCCCCACTTCCTTTTCCTAATGTTCATTATCGATAAGATCCCCTAAAAAAAAAAAATTAATAACAATTTTTTTTTTGTTTCTCGTCGAGAGATTTACTCCCATCGCTGTTGTTGTTACAACATTTATTACAAACATAATTACACCGCAAGAGTTTTTGGTTGTTGTTGTTTGTTGTGTTGTTGTCGTTGTTGTTGTTTCACTTTGATTTATAACGGTTTTTTTTTTTTTTAGTTTTCATCATCAACGCGTTATCATCATTTATTTTTTTTTTTTTAATGTTAACTTTTTTCTTTTCTTTTTAATGTTTACCATCAAAAACATTTTAAGGTTTTTATGTTTTTGCTGTTGTTGTTGCTGTTGTTGCTGTTGTTATTGTTGTTGTAAAAAAAAAAAAACTTTTTCTTTTTTTTATTTTTCACGCCTTTTATCATTAACGTTATTACTATCATTATTAACTTTTTTCCCTTTTTTTTGTTCTCCGAGAAATGGGGAAATTTGTGGGGAGGAGGGCTGAAAGAGGGGTCGAAGAGGAGAGGGGGAAGGGTAAAAAAAATAGCAAACGTTAAAAATTTGACAAAATTAATAGAAAAATAAAACGAATTTTTTTTCTCTCCCTCTCTCACACGCACACATATCTTCTCTCTATCACCGTATACACGTTCCAGCAAGTTAGTTTATTTCCTGGAGAAACGATTTCCGTTAAATTCACACAAAACTTAAATGAGAGAGAGTGAGAGAGAGAGAAAAGTTTAAACTTAAATTGAGAGAAAAGCAAATCGATAAAATAAATAAAAATTTTTCCCATTTTAACGCAAGCGCTCCCGTTCTTACTTTATAATAAATTCCTTTTTTTCCTTTTTTTTTTTTCCTTTTTAAACTTGATTAATAAAATTTTTATTTAACAAAAAAAAATTATCAATTTAAATTAATTCTACCATTCATAAATTATTATAATTATTATTATTATTATTATTATTTAGATATTAATAAAATTCCAGTCGTAAATGTAAAAGGAAAAAAAAGGAAAAAAAAACGATTTTGAAAAATGATTGCCTTTCTCAACTTATTCCTTTCAATTTTCTATTAAGAATTTCTTTGAATTTTTCTCTCTCCCTTCCTCCCTTCCCCAAAAAATTTTTCTCCATTTAAAAAGAAGGAAAAAAAATGGCGGATCTTTTTTTTCAAAATTCGCGATACTCGAATTAAATTCATATCAACACCGCCATCGATTTTTTCCCCTTTCTCTCTCTCTCTCTCTTTTTCTTACCCTCTCTCTCTCTCTTTTTTTAAACATAAAAAAGGACGTCATGAGAATTGTTAATAATTTCCGGTTGAAAATAAAAAATAAAAAAAAAATGTCGTAGGCATCAAAAAAATATAAAATAATAATAATAATAATATTTTGGAAAAGCAGACGGAGGTAGAAGAGACTAAGAAAAAAGGAAAAATAATAATAATAATAATAATAATAATAATAATAATAATAATAATAGTACGCGAGTGAACACAATAAGAAAAAACGTTCAAAGGAAAAAAAAAAATAAAAAAAAATAAAAGGAGAACAAAAAAAGGAAAATATATAAATGTTTTTTACGAGCCATAAAGTAAAGAAAGAAAAGAGAGAGAGAGAGAGAGAGAGAGAGTATGAAAATCTCAAAACGGAAATAAGTTACCATTTGTTTAAAAAAAAAAAAAGGAAAAAAGGAAAAAGAAAAAAAAAATTGAAAAAAAAAAAATATAAAATTTGAAAAATGATACGGATTTGATATGTTTATCAAATGACCGCAAATGTTCATTTTAAATTTCTTAATGGCATTACTTTTTTTTTTGCATTCTTTTAAATTTAATCATCAAAAGGTTGAATCAAATATTTATTGATTCCTTTTTTTTTTTTCTCCTCAGTCGTAAATAGTTTTTTCAAAGGAAAAAAAAAATT